TAATTGTTTTCACATTGTGACAGTCCCGCTTTAACTTAAACTTTCAGGTTAACGTACACGTCACATTGAGTCATGGCGAGCAGTTTTCCTATGTTCACTCGCCTTCCGCTTTGTGGGTTCAGTCTGTCACTACCAGTGGGTTTAAGGTGTGTGTCCGTGAGTCGGGAACTCCATCAAATGGTAGTGGTATTATCAACTGGTTGGCCTTTCAAGATCGACCCGATATCACACATGGAAGTGTTAGTTTTAATGGATATTGGACAACAGAAACCAGATGCGAGAAAATATCTTTCTCACAGGTGAGATTGCGCATGCAATCACCGTACACTTTCGTTCGAATTCACGAATGTTGCTATTTACTAGTTGGTTACAAAGAAAAAAAAAAAGAATCATCGACATCTTCTACGCCAAACAGTAGAAAGTACTATTTTTCTTGGAAAAGACAATAATGATCATCGCAGATATGTACACAACAACAGGTTTGAGCAATATTCGAACCGATGATTTTTGCATTTAATTTCAGTTTTGTGTATCTAAAGAGTAGTTAGCTTCAAAAGAAAAACGATATCAAGCCCATGCAATATTTTATTAAAAAGCTAAAAATTGCAAGTGCCTATTAGTTTAAGCTGGGTGGAGTGACTCCCATGTAAGAAGGACAAGAGTGNGGTATTATCAACTGGTTGGCCTTTCAAGATCGACCCGATATCACACATGGAAGTGTTAGTTTTAATGGATATTGGACAACAGAAACCAGATGCGAGAAAATATCTTTCTCACAGGTGAGACCACGCATGCAATCACCGTACACTTTCGTTCGAATTCACGAATGTTGCTATTTACTAGTTGGTTACAAAGAAAAAAAAAAAGAATCATCGACATCTTTCACTCCAAACAGTAGGAAGTACTATTTTTTCTTGGTAAAGACAATAATGATCATCGCAGATATGTACACAACTTAGGCAGCTGTGAAAATAAAGCCTTAACAAAAATCAGGTTTGAGGAATATTCGAACCCATGATTTTTGCATTTAATATCAGTTTTGTGTATCTGAAGAGTAATTAGCTTCAAAACAAAAACGATATCAAGCCCATGCAATATTTTATTAAAAAGCTAAAAATTGCAAGTGGTTATTAGTTTAACCTGGGGAGAGTGACTCCCATGTAAGAAGGACAAGAGTGTCCATCGTACCTTTTAGGGGTTAACAAAGCGATTTTGATACCTTCTAGGGTGTTTAGCCTTAAAAGGTCCAAAGCGGAAGCTTTTTGTGGTACCCTTAAGGGTATTGAGCAGAAAAAAAAAATGTATATGACAAGAGATAATGTGTTATGTTAGAACTGGTACCTCTTAGCGGTTCTTTTCAAAATTTCCTACAAGCAGCACCGTCCCTTTTATATGGGAATCCTCCCCCAGCAAGTTTACGATGGGTATGCATGACCGTGTCTATTGTGT